GAGCAACGGAGTGCGTGACGTATGTTAAGCCACGCATAGTTGTTGTCAACAAAAATCAAAGCGTGCAGTTGCGCGCCTAGAATAAGAAGATGAGCCTTGATCGCGTTTCTCTTTTCCTCTTTTAAAATTAATTTGCTGTCGATATCTTCTAGAACAGACCTAATAGCAGAATCTACTCACCCAAACTCTCCAGCGGCAGCCATTGTTGTTGTCACCCAAGCGCGCTTTGGTCACGTGGTTGATTACGTTACTGTTGATCATCTGTCCATCATCGTATAAAGCCCGCCCTGATCATTTGATTGGCCCGCCAGATATTGTGCGAGCATACTCGCGCTACTATCGAGCAATGCCAGACCGAACTTCCCGACCTCAAACGTTGTGGGCGGGACTAAGTTCGGAATGGCACCCAGGTTAACAGTGTGCAGCACTTATGAGTAAATCTCACAAGCTTCTACAACCAGTTAATTGATTTGTATCAGAACCAAAATCCCTTATTAGTTATAGTGGATCCAGCTTGTGAATTAACTTTTTTCACTTTCATATTAAAAAGCTGTTTATGCTTCAACTTTAGCACTGACATTATTTGTCGTTTTTGCTTTAGTAATAGCCCTAAAGAAATCATTGGGAATTTAAAAAAACCTTCCCTCTCGTCCTCTATGCGAAGAAACATGTAGAGGACATCAATATTTGTCTTTTCTTTTATATTTCTAATTGTTTTATTTCTGTGATTTTGTTTCTTTGTGTTTGTGTTCCTGCTGTGCTGTTTTCTTCTGCTTTGATTCTTTTTAACACTGCATCACTTTTTACAGATGTCTTTTGTTTGTTTTGTTAGACTTTCGCATATTTTGTTATTGATTTGTTTTAGTTTTGTTTTTCTTTCATCTGCATTGATTTTTTTTTCCCCACAAAGACACTTCGACTTTTCAATCTTTCTGTTTTTTTGTCGTCCTAATTACTAATTCAGGTAGTGTAGGTTTTTTTTCTTTTATCCTCAAACACACTTGAGGTTTAGGAGGGAATACCAGCATCTGATTTGCTTTTGATCTTGTGACTTTGGATTGTTTCTTTTAACCTCACATAAGGGTGCCCTTGTACTCTTCCTTTTAGCTTTATTCTCATTTTTGATTTAGACTAAATCTATTTTTTTCTTCTGTGTTTTTGTTCCTCCTCTTCCGTGTCTCCCATTAATTCACATGCAGCCTTTTGGTTTCTATCTCCGTTGTTACTTTGGAAGTCGTAGATATTCTCGGCGGACCCGTTTCCCTGTGAATAATCACGCAGGTTCATTGTGGGAGCGAGTTAGGTGCCAAAGTCATTTCTTCAACAGGCTGCAGCTTTATACTGGGTCAATCAAGCTGAAATATCTCTGCAAAGGCTTCTATTTCATTAGGCATCGTTCCCTCCCCATGAATATAATTACTGCGTCTGCTCCCGAACTTTAAACGGGCTGAATTGGGTCTGAACTCATGAGGAGAACTTTTTAAATGCTTCATTTGAGAGCCTGATTCAGTGTAAAGTCACTCCTCTGCAGAGTTTGGGTCGCATTTCCAGTCAGATTGCTGCAATTTGGTTCAAGAGGACTTTATACTCTAATCAGTGATTCCTTTTCAGATATAAAATGTTAGGGATTTTTTTTAAAACATATTCTTGGTCCTTGTAAATATATTAAATACACTTGTTTCCAAAATTATTCATACCCTGTTCCAATTCCTTGAAATGTCTAATTTTAATCACTTCCACAGACAAAGGTTTATTAAATACAGGTAGAAAAAACTATATGTATTTACTGAGGGGCTCAGTAAATACTATAGTTCATGTAGCTTTTAGATTAACTCAAAAATTATGGAGTGAAAATTCTGCATGTGCGTATTAAATACTCATACGAGCAGTTTTATAAAAAAGTAACACATAAAATGCTGAGTCCATGCTCCTTCTCTGCGATGGCGGTTTGCTTTTCATGGGACTATTAATTATTCTTGTTAACTACTCGTGTGTGGACCTGTTTCTCTGCGCTCATGTCGACTGTTGTCACTTTCAGGGTGGAACCGACCAGAGAAAGTAAACTGGCTACTTCTCAGGAAAACCCTGCCTCCTGAAAAATTACCGGTTTCTTCCTAGCTGCGGCTACTAGCGTTAACAAAAGATCTTCAGTCTATTAATTGAACTCCTAAAGTTGGTTAAGTGGAGTAATCTTTAAATAATTTTGTTTAAAGACAGTGTAAAGTATAAATATGTGTTCTCAGTTATTCATCACCCATCTGAATTTGAATTATTAATAACACATCTAAGCATTTAAAATGTTAGGTCACTAAAGTAGTTAATTAAAAAATGTCATTTATCTCTGCCCTGAGATGCTGGGGGGGGGGGGTGTTGGCTGAGGCGCTTGAAACCATGCCTATGCCCTATTGTATTTCACTGCAACCTTTTTTAAGGAAAAAAAAAAGTTAAATACAATATTTACATTCAGATGTTTTATTTCAGGGGGATCAGTAGAAGGTTTGCGCATATACAACTGATGTTTTACGGGTAAATAGAGGAGAGTGGTTTTACTCCCTGACTGCAGACACAGGCTGCAGCTTCTGCGTCGGAGTTCCTGTGTTTAGGAGGGCGGAGGGGCTTGTTCACCAACTGTACGCTGAAGATCATAAACTCAGGGCGATTAATGATTTGTGTTGTCACCAAAAATTTCTAACAAGACAAGAGAAAGTTTCTAGATTTATCTTTTGTCGCTTTTTGGAAAAAATCCCTAAAAGGGTCTGAAAAGGCATTTGATATAGCGACAAAATCGCTAAAGCCGGGCAAACACTTTGCGATATTTTCAATCGTTGCATGCAGCTACAGCTCACACTGTACGACTAATCTGCAAGGTTTAAAAGTTCACAGCTCACGATGTATGTTCAAACTCTGTGACCCGACGCTCTGATGCAACCTACCTGCTCACACTGTACATCTAAAACCAGGTCGCACTCAGCTCCGCTGTGGGATGGCGCTTCTCGAACTTGTCTATCCAGAAGCCAAACGAGTAGAAGAGGAATATGAAGCTCACTAGAGAGAAACGCGCTGCCTTGGCAATTTGTTCAATTATGTGCTGAAAGCCCTAAAAAGAAAAGGCGTCGACGTATTTACATAAAGACATGGCTGAGCAAACGTGGCTACTATGGTTTGTGGATTTTACAGAGCGAACTTCATTTCACTCATTGCACCCCCGCCTTGATTCTGTGTTTTCATCAGAGAGGAAGAAGAAGAAGAAGAATCCTTGTTTTCACATGCCCATGATGGCCGACGCAATTTCAAACATGTTTGGTTTTCTCTCGATCCCCTGATTCCTGATGGAGAGGTGGTCGTAAGAGGTTGATCACCTCTCGTAGTCCCCTGTATACTACATGACGCACGATCAGGCTGAAAGTCGGCCCGATTGAAAAATTATCTCATGACTGGAAAATTTGCCTGAAAAGGGCAAAAAATCTTAAGTTAAGCTTAAGTTGGCCACAATGCAGAGGGGGACTTGGTGTTTGTTTTTATGCAGTTGGGCCAGCAGGGGGCGAACTTATGCTGAATGCAGCTGCATAACAACATTATACCTCACTTTGAGACACAGACAAAGTTGCGGGAGTCTCCCTGATATCGATAGTTGTTCATGGATGCCCGTGACTCGGATAAATTATCCGAGACTTTACACTCTGCGAGGTGATGTTTTTTAATGCGAGTGAGAGCGTGCAGGCACTAATTCATGCATCATGTGCGGATTAGAACTAGTTCGATTGCGCAGACAACAAGAGAGAGCGGGGTGTGGGGAGGAGGTTGCTCTGATCTGAGTGATGCTCTGATCAACCAGCGCTCCAGGTGAATGGTTGTCAGAGAGCTGATTGGATCAGTCCGATAAGTTTCTCTGGGTTACTCTCTGGCAGTCACCTAGTTACCACTCAAAGCTGTGCATCCTGGGAAACGGCAGAGGTTGAATCCTCGAGTAAAAAACGAAAATATAGGACTAATTTTACAGCAGAATATACTATTATATCCACGTCTAGTGAAAGTGAGGAACAGTGGCGGATCTAGACCAAATGTACCAGGGGGCCAGGAGGGGGGCAGCATGTTTTTATGGGGGCCCAGAAAAGCATGAAATAAAAAACAGGGCAAGGGATTCAAATATATCAAGAGAGCTGCATGAAGGGAAATTTCTTTTAAATTATTTTCAATAGAAATTATTTTTCTTATGAGGTTAATATACATTTATAATTTAGGAATTTTACATATTTTTGACTTAATTTAAGTTAAAACTACTGTTTTTTATAAAATTTGAATTAGAACTCAAGAAAAACTGTTAAATTCATCTGTAAAAATTTGAGAATTTTTTTATTTGTTGTGGAAAAAAAACATTTAACAGATGAAAACTGGGATCCTATCTCAATTACACTGAAGCTATCACCTTATTGTTTTTGAATAATTAGTAAAACAGAATTTGTAAAGAAAAAGAATGAAGTAGATCTAAAGGACCTATCAGTAACCATGTCTGTTCCAGCACATATCTGAAGCATCTCCCTGAAATGAGTTTTTGGAACTTGGGATGTCTGGCTAATGACAGAGCTGTTTGATATGAATTCAGAATTCTGTTCATAAAAAGGACAGCTATTAGCCTAAAGATGCTTTGCTAACATTACGAGCCACAGCTAGGAAGGAACACTACTGTTAAATTTGCACCAGTAATGTTGCACGAAAAACAGTACAAGGTTAACTGCATTTTGTCAAGTGTGAAGTTCGATGCAGGCAGGTTGATATCTTCCCCCTAGTTTCGTTGAAAGTGGTTACTAATGGCGTCTTCATGTTGAGACATTTTGGATAATTTCATTCTTGAATACTTCTGCCATAGAAGAACTTGACCGGCTAGTAGTAACTTGAAATAAAACATGAAGTAAAAAAGTCATTTTTATTACATTAATCTCCGCAGTGCCTTCTTATATATAACAACTTTAACATTGAACGCTCATGTTTTGGTGTTGCAGATTTGGGAAGTATCGCAAAGATGAGCGGCCTGCAGAGAAGATGGATCGGAAAGGATCGAGTAAGTGGAGACCAGAGGAAACACAGGTTTCTGATGAAGAAACGATGAAGATGAGGATGGAGCAAGAGAGGTAAGGTTAACTTGTATAACCATTAACGAAATTAATAACGGGTGAAGAATATGGTACAAAACCAAAATGTAATTTTCTTATTTTCTACTTTGCCATATGACATTTTGTCTGTGAATAAACTTGAGCATACTTCTAAATAATAAACAGGATTGATCATTTAGAGCTGCATTATGCACCACTACTAGTGTTAATGAGGGAAATAATTTATCATAATACAATATAATTATCATAAAATGTTGTAAAAACTGTTTTTGAGTAACCATATGTTGGCTGATTGTAATGGTACCTCCATATTCCAGTTCCACCTACCCCTCTATTGTCAGGAAGTCACAATTTCGACTGCCAGTCTTTGAAGGTTTTATTTGAACTATTAAAATGTTATGACATGATATTGACATTTTCTAGTATTTTTGTACACCATTTTTTTAATACAAGTGATCATTGTAATAATTTCAAGGGCTCCTACATAAAAATAGTTATAGGACATAAAAATACTTACAGCAGAGGAACTGAGAACTGGAAGAGTAGTTTGTTATGGACAGCTGCTGAAGCTTTCATGGGTTGAGATACAGCAATGCCTTTGCTTTGGGTCGCAGCTTATTTAAGTTGCTTAAGGATGGTGAGCTGCTTTCAAATTGGGTGAAGAAGGTCCAACAAAAGTTTTAGCACTTGTTGCGTTTTTACTGTGCTTTGAATATTTCAAAAAAGATGTTTTTGTTTTTTATTTTGTTGAAAGAGTCACTTGGTTGTTCAGTGAATATCTCCTGTGTGAAGCTGGGAGTATACGTACCTACTACTGTACCCTCCGCCCCTTGCATTTCATTTAAAGCTTTGTGAAAATGAAACGCAAACAACACATACAAACATACACATAAAAAATATCTATTTACCTATTTCTCACCCAAGCAGAGTATCCATTAAGCATCAGAGGAAAAGAGGGGAAAGAAGGTGTACTTGTTGGCTCAGTTGAATGGAAGGAGTGCAGAGTGATGTCCTGTTTGCTCTGGTTATTTTTGCTTCAGTAACATTTCAGGTGCCCAATCTGTTTGTCAACAGGCGGCCCTCGAAGATATCTGTATTATTCTGATGCAAACAACAAAGGTAGATCTGCAGGGTATCTGCAAAAAGGACAGCAGTGGATACACTGTAGCTTTGAAGCAGTGGCTCAGATGGCAGCAGCGCAGCTCCCAACAGCGGCTGAACCAATGGGTCATGGTACGGAGAATTTCGTAGTTCAGGACAGCGTCAGAACCAGTGTGGCACAGGTCAGCGTTTCTAGTGGCTCCTCTGCAAGCAGCAATTGCTCCTGGCTGTTCAGTTGGTCAACCAGAAGTGGATAGTTTTCTCATCTGCTTCAGCTGACGGTTCACAAAACACTGCGTTGTGCTGTATCTGGTTACGAACGCAGGACAAACAAGACATTACCTTCATTTCTTTTTGAATCTGTCAGTCTGCAGTCTGGCTCATTCCAGCGAGCACAGGCTCTTCTCCGTAGGGTATTGGGTGGCTACTTACGTAGCTTCAGCTGAAACCCAGCCTATGTCTCCCCTATCGAGTCCCACAGGCAAGAGGAAGTTGAATGGGACCCGGCTGCCTAAATAATCTCTGTCACATTGATGCGACGTCATTAACATTTGATTTTCAACAACTTAAACAGTCAAAAGCTCCAAAGAAATTGGTTTATATCTTTGACTTTAAATAACTCAGGCTTTCAGCACTTTTACAGTCTTCTTGGACTTTGTTTAAGTCAGTTGAGCATAGGAACTAAATGCTGCTTCTCCATGTTTAGTTCTAGTTCTGGGTGTACAGCGTAGGCTGGAACTAGAAGGCCTGAGTGATCTGGAGGGTTGATACACTGACAACAGATCTGATATACAGCAGAGGGATTTTAAAGTCTATTCTGTAAGCTACAGAGAGTTAGTGGCAGGTCTTCAGAACGGGGAGGATGTGCTCTACTTTCTTAGTTCTGGTGAGAACCTGGGCAGCAGAGTTTTGGATCAGCTGCAGCTGTCTGATGGACTTTTTAGGCAGACCTAGAAAGACAGTAATTGATCCTAATAAAGATAAATGCATGGATGAGTTTTACTAGATCCTGCTTGGACATGAGTCTTTTAATCCAGGAAATGTTCTTCAGATGATAAAAGGCTGACTTAATAACTGCCTTTATGTGCCTCTGAAGGTTCAGGTCTGAGTCCATGATAATACCAAGGTTTTGGCCACAATCACTGGTTTCTAGCTGTAGAAGCTGAAGCTGTGAGTTAAATTAATCTCTCCTCTGTTAGTCCAAAGATTATTACCTCAGTTTTTATTTTATTCAATTGTGATGACTGTGGTTTATATTCTTTTTCTGCACAGCAAACCTTTCTCATTGGCTGAAAAACCTGTTTAAACCCGGTAACGATTGGCTTTTAGTGGCAGCGGGAACAGCTCACCTAGGCGTGTCTACCCAACTCAGAAGAGTCGGCAAGCGACCCACGTTAAAAACGCCTTGGCTCCGAGCGGCATGCTGTGGGAACACCAGAGCCGGTTCCTCCCACTAATTTACATGTCCATTCTTAATACTTATTGGACTGGAGAGAAAGCTTAGCTTAATATGAGAGCGTCCATGTTTTAAGAAAACATCATTAAGTTCTTTTCTTTATGAACTTATGCAGACTTACCACAGCAAATAAATGCAGCTTTATAACTTTAATCTACACTGACGCATGTATGGATGGAAGAATAGAAGTGACTGAAAAATATTCTGGATGTTTGATGGTCGTTGCAGCGTAGCCCCTGATATGACTAAATTACACCCCGAAGGTTTCCTACATGTCATTGCCTCATGTTCAAACTTTAAATAACATATAAATAATAATAAGCCTTAATATAGCGATGTGATTTCCCTTAACACCAACAGGTCCAAGATGGCAAATCTAAGTAAAGCCTTTCTTCTTAAATTAAATGCCAGCTGGGCGATGTGCCAGTTTTTTTGGAGGCACTAGTTTATAAAAGCCAGGACCATTACAGCTCTGTCAGCTAATTAATTCCCAGGCAGCGCTTGAAGGGCAGGAGTCATTAAAGCCCATGTTTATACAAGATTTCCTGTTGTAAAAATCTGGTTTGTATTCTTTCTTTATGCCTGTAGTGCTTAGAAGTCACATAATATAACGACAGTCCTTAGTTTTAATTCAACACAAAGGCCAAATCAGATGTTTTCATCTGACAGTGGTCTTTTCATCTTTTTCTGCACTGCAAGGTTTTGGTTTAGTACTACTAAAAAAACTGCACTGATATGAAGGTGATTTTATGACTGAATGAACAGGTAAATGAAGGCTGATAGACCTGATGCTGCTTTAGATAACTTTAGGGGTTTTAAATAACAAATAATTACACAACCATCTGGATAACTGCCCTTATGAGTGAATATAATGTTTAAGTTACCTTTGAACCTAAATATGTTTTTATGCACTTGTGGCCTTTATTTTAGACTTATTTTAAATGGAATTAAGAGAGAGGTTTATTTAAGGCCGCAACTAATGAGTATTTTACTAATAAATTAATCTCTCAGTTCTTGTTTTGATCAATTGATTAATATTCGTATAGCAAAAAGTTCCTTAAATAAGATTTTACACAGAATTTAAACTCAATGAAACAGAAACTAAAACTGGGCCTGAACTGAAATATTAAAGGACAAAAAGGTTTTCACCTTGAATATATTTTAAGAAATAATTTCTTTGAGTGGATTCATCTTTCAGCTAAAATCATCTTTTAGAGTCTATATACTCAAATTAGCAATTAATGGATTACTAAATTAGTTGACTATTCTTTAAATAATTGAGTTATCACAATTAATCCAATTCATTGTTTCCTTGATGGGTTAACTACGGAAGCCCTGAAAGGCAAAGGGAAAAAAACTAGACTATTTTGATTTTTTTCCTTCCCTGCAAGACAAGTAAAAAAAAAATCAAAGGCAAACGTGTTTGTCATTGTTGGCTATATTCTTCAACTGTATAGTCAGAGAGATAGAAAAAAAGACATAGAAATCTAAGCTAAGAGCTTTTTTTCCTCAGTCTGTGTTTTGAGGCAAGTTTCCCAACTACTTTCCATTTAGCTGTTATAATTAAAACATAAATAAATATAATCATTTAAGCATTCATATCTAAATTGTTGCCACATTATTTCTTATATCCATGTCTTATTTACTGTGATGATCATTGACTGACAGCAAATCTAAGGTTATTTGGGAAATAGTCTTGATCCTAACAAAGAGCAGCTGTGATGTTGTCCTACAGATATGGTGGATTATCTCTGCAAATAATTCTCTATTGTTCATAAAAATACAAGATTGATATAACCACATGTCATGGCCAATGAATACACAGTTTTTGTTCCCGATTTTTCTCTCATTTTACTTTGCAAAAATCTAATTTTATATTTGGGACCTTGATTCTTGGATACCAGTCAAGAGTGTTTGTCTTATTACCTTACTGCCTCTAGTGGCTAAACACAGTATTACAAGATCGAACACTTAGAAAATTTGCCTTTGAATTATATTTTTATTTTCCTTTCAGGGCAGGAGAAAAAAAAAGGAAAATTATTTTTAAAGTTTTTTCCCTTGCATTTCACACTATTGTGGTTTTCAGATATACAGTAAAGGTTGATGGAAAGGGTCTTGAACCAATGACTCGAGCTTTGTGAGCTAAGGTTCATGGATCACAAACTCAACCCCTGTGCCTCAATCGTACCAAACAATTATTTTAAACCAAAGAGCTTGAACTGAATGCAGTCACTAAAGCCAATGTTTAATAGGGTTCTTGGAGTGGGAATGGCAACAAGAAAGTGAGGCACAGAGCAGCAATGTTTCTGTCTGAGAGAACCTAATCCTGATTTGCACCTGGACTGTCATTCTGCTCTGCATTTTGAGAGTCATTCAATGGCCGTTTCTCATTATGTGTACTTGTGCGTTCCCATGTACTCCTGAAAAATCAGCCTCAGCTCTAGTACTGTTCCAATTCACA